TGCTGTCACTTCGCCCCTTGCAGAGGTGGCTCAACAGCTTTCGCCTGGATGCCAGGCTGCACAGGCATCGCAAGCTCGCAGTGACGTGGTCATGTCTTCATGCCTTGACTCCATGGAGGGACGAAGATTATTTGTCCAGGGGTGTCCCCATGGGAGTGGTAGTGTGTCGCAGGGAAGTGGTCACAACGGATGCCAGCTCCATGGGATGGGGGGCTGTATGGCAACGCAGAGCGGTTCAGGGCCGCTGGGGTCAAAGAGACCATTCCAAGCATATAAATGTGCTGGAGCTGCGTGCAGTGCACTTGGCACTCAGGCACTTCCTGCCTCACCTGGAAGGGAGGCATGTACTTGTTCGGTCGGACAACACCTCTGTTGTCTACCACATCAACCATCAGGGGGGCACCAGGTCAGCACAACTTCTGAGTGTGTCCAGAGAGCTCCTGGAATGGGCCTCTCCTCGCCTGTCCACCCTGCGGGCAGCGTACTTGCCAGGGCGACACAATCAGGTCGCAGATTTTCTCTCCCGCCAAGAGTCCCCTCCGGGAGAGTGGTCCCTCCACAGAGACATAGTGCTGATGATCTGGGACCGTTTTGGTCAGGCAGAGATAGACCTGTTTGCGACGGAAGAGTCGACTCAGTGTCCCCTATGGTACTCTCTTACGGGGGCGTCGGGTGCGCTAGGCCAGGACGCATTGGCTCATCCTTGGCCAAGGGTCCTTCAATATGCCTTTCCACCCCTTTCTCTAATTTGGCCAACCCTTCAGAGAGTCCTCGAGGAGGGCCACAGGATGCTGCTGGTGGCTCCGTATTGGCCAGCGCGACCATGGTTCCCACTGCTACGAAGTCTATGTCAGGGCGTCCCATGGTGTCTTCCGACCAGAAGGGACTTGCTGTCTCAGTTGGGGGGACTGATATGGCACCCCAATCCTCAACGTCTTCGGCTGTGGGTGTGGCCACTGCAAGGCTAGGACAGCAGCTGACTGGAGTTTCGAGCCCCGTCAGACGCACCATCCTGGGCGCCAGGGCACCCTCTACTCGTCAGCAGTACGAAAACAGGTGGCGCCTGTTTTCCCAATGGTGTTCGGATCACAACAAGGATCCAGTCTCCTGTACAATACCCACCATTCTGGAGTTTCTCCAGTCTCTACTTGGTAAGGGTCGCTGTCCTTCGACGCTTAAAGTTTATGTAGCGGCAATATCATCTAATCACACTGGCATTGATGGCTGTACGGTAGGGAGCCATAATCTAGTCTCTCTTTTTCTGCGTGGTGCCCGTAGGTCACACCCGCCAACAGCTCCACGAGCACCAGGTTGGGACCTTCCCTTGGTTCTCGAAGCTCTGTGCCGTCCTCCTTTCGAGCCTCTGTCGCAGGCGGACCTCAAGTGGCTTTCATGTAAGACGGCTTTTTTGTTGGCTATTACCTCAGCAAAGAGGGTCAGCGAGCTACATGCTCTCTCAATCAGCCCCTCATGTCTCAGGTGGGGCCCTGAGGGCTCGTGTGTTACCTTGTGGCCAAACATTGCATTCGTACCAAAGGTGTTGTCTCACTCTCACTCTAACCAACCGTTGAGGCTGGCACGTTTTCAGCCTGCACCTGGTGAGGGGTCTGCATTATTGTGCCCGGTAAGGGCACTGGAGGCATATGTTGCAGCTACTGCCGTGATAAGACATTCAGACCAGCTGTTTGTGTGTTATGGAGGCCCTAGGTTAGGCTGTCCTCTTTCCAAACAGCGCCTCTCCCACTGGATCGTGGACGTCATCTGCCACGCCTATGCTGCAGGGCCCGGCTCCCTCCCGGTCGGCTTGAAGGCTCACTCTACCAGGAGCGTCTCCGCTTCCTGGGCTGCCCTGAGAGGGGTTCCGCTGGAAGCAATATGTGCTGCTGCATCATGGGCTTCCCCAAGCACGTTCACCAGATTTTATAGAGTTAACGTGGCCACCCCTCATCCCCTGGGCCAGGTTCTTCTACAAGGGTCCTCTGGGCCTCCTCAGTGAGGTAGGTGTTAGGATTCCTTGTGACATCGTTGATATTAGTCATTCAGTGCTTTCAGCACCGCCCTCTGGCGGTCAGGAGGGATGAAATAGAACGAAAGTTACGTATGTAACTACGGTTCTATGAATCCCGGATGACCGCCAGAGCTTCTCCGTCACTCAGAATCCTTGCGTTTCGCGAGAAGATTCTGTAGGAGCAGAGCAGCGGATGACGTCGGGCTATATAGCCTCTGATTGGTCATCCGTGTCACACCTGTGACTCCGTTGGTATTATTACTCGAATCAGCGCATGCGCGAAGGGAACATTCAGTGCTTTCAGCACCGCCCTCTGGCGGTCATCCGGGATTCATAGAACCGTAGTTACATACGTAACTTTCGATTCTTTCTGCTAACCACAACATTTTTGTGCTTCTTCTAACTTCTTTCTGCTAATTTCAGCTTGTTATGCTCCTTTCAGTTTATGTCTGCAAGTTTCAGCTTCTTCTGCTATTTCAGCTACTGTTTAGCTGTTTTATGCCAATTTTAGCTTTTGCAGGTAATTCCACATTTTTTTGCAATAATTTCAACTTTTTTTCAGCCTAATTCAGCAAAATTAAGCTCTCTCCACTTACTTCTGGTAATTTAAGCTTCTTTCTACATTTTAGCTGTTTGTTTGCTAATTTCAGCTTTTTTTTCAGATAATTTCCACTTTTTGTGCAAACGTGTTCTGTCTGTTTTCTTCTGCTAATTTAAGCTTGTTCTAACTTTTCAGTTAGCTTTCCTTTTTTTGTTGTTGCATATTTTAGTTAATTTCAGCTGTTTCCAGATAAATTCAAGTTTTTCATGTTAATTTCTGCTTTCAAGTCATATTATTTATAGAGCACAATTTAAAACAGATAGACTGTTAGACTGTTTCAGCCTAATTAACTTCTTTATGCTAATTTCAGCTTGTTATGCTCGTTTAAGCTTTTTTCTGCTAGTTTCAACTTTTTCTGCTCTTTCAGCTACTATTGGATACATCTTTTGATCCTAATTTTAGCTTTTTCAGCTAATTCCACATTTTAAAAAGAATCTCATTTCAGTTATTTCTGCTTCCTTTGGATAGTTTAGGCTTCTTTCTGCCTTTTCAGCTACTTTTCAGCTATTTTTTTGCTAATTTCAACTTTCATAAAATACATTTTCTATATTTTTTGTGCTCATTTACACTAATTTAAACCTAATTAAGCAAATATGTGCTCTATTTGTTTTATTTAGCTAATTTAGGCTTGTTCTTCCATTTCAGCTACATTTCAGAATGTTTTTTAGCTAATTTCAGCTGTTTTTCAGCCAAGTTCTTCTGCAATAAGCACATTTTCGCAGGAAATGCAATTTCTCTAATTGCTGTTGTGATTGTTTACGCTGTAATTCCTCCGCTGTCTTCAAAAACTGATTTAAGTGTTTTGAACATCTTTCTGCTCTGAAGCCAAAAAGCTTTTTGGATCTTCATTTTGTAACAACACAAGCTGTAAAAATAACCAAGATCAAACGAAATGTTAAAGCTGGTGCTAGTGGCTCATTACGGTGACCATGGTAACTGCATACCGTTGTCTCTCACTCCCTGACAGAAAGATGTATGAGAGGCAGAGACTAATTATGAGACAGAGACAAACAATGACTGTGCAGAAATTTTACGTTTGATGGAACAAATCCCTGAACTGTGAGTGGCAGAAGGTGCTGATGGTCGTGCTCGTCAATTTTTATGTTTCTGCAACCCTTCATGTAGGACATGCAGCACATTAAATACACACAGGGTAAAAGAGGACCATAAGTCCTTCGTTTTGTTGTTTAATTTGTAAGAGACGTGCAAACGTGTGGAAATAAGAAGTTTGCTTGCGAAGATTTGTGAACCTTTAGACAGCTGTAAAGATGGTCTCTGTGTTGAACAGTCTCAGGTCAAATCTATAAGTCATGAAGCGGAAACAGTATTTGTGTGAAAACTGTTTCAAAATGCCACTCAAGTTATGTCAAGTCCAACTTTCTGTGAACTCTTCAAACTTAAAATGATGTTTCTACTGAGAAGTACCTCAGAGCTGCAGAGCTCGATTCACCAAAATCTGTCGTCGTCTCGGGGAAATCTATTTTAATTTTATCTACCTCATATGATGTACGGCTACTAAAAATCATTAAAACCCCACATTATGATGTATGACAAAACTTTTTTTTAGATTAAACCAACAAAATACAACTCAAGAACCTCATTGCAGTTTGTTTTATTCACTCAACAGCCCCCAAAAAAATTAAGCAAAGCGACAACAAACTCCAATATTTCTGCTTAAAGTAACTCAGTTTTAATAAAAATCATCTGTTTCAGCTTCATACTGTCATGTTTCTTTCTGTTTGGGTCACTTTAGATACAATAAGACCTTTATTAACAATTTGAATGTATATTCCAAATGTTAGTTTTTTTTTTTTAAATGTGTTTGTTGCAGAAAACTGCATTCATTCTACAGTTATACATTAAAAAAAACTTTTATTTTACTTTATCTTTTTTACTAGCTGAATGTGATATTATTTAGGAGATGTCTAGTAAATAAAAACACATTTTCTTTTTCTTTTATTCATTGATAATACAAGTATCCAAACTCTTTGCCTCCATCGCCATCTAGTGGTTATTCTTGAAACGACAACAAGAAGAAATTTTCTGAACGAATTAAAAAAATACAATCTGGGTTTGCGTTCTTGATTCTGGAGGACTGATGTTAATCTTATTTTAATATAATTTGTCCAAGTCTTAGCTCAATCATAGAATGTAAAAATTAGATTTCCCAGTTTTAGTTTAGTGCTTCTATTTTTAATCTTAGGAACAAAATATTGTTTAAAAAAAACAATAAAGTGCCCTGAAATGTGAGTAACTCAGGGTGTGTTTGAAAAGCAAGGACTTTTAAATAAAAATGAACACAACAAGTGGTTAAAACGACACATTATCAAACAAAAACTGCAGGAAAGTGGATTTTTCCGAGCACGAACAAGTAAAAACACGTGCACTCACGTGGAGCGGCGTGTTGTTGTTCAGCTGGTCCTGGCTGACGGGTGACGACGCAGGATGACAGTCGAGCGACACTCTGTCCCGACAGTCGGCGTGACACGCGTACTTACAACCTGCGGAGACACGACTGCACATCAGCTCACCGCTGCCAGACAAAACAAGACGGATGGGACTGAGAAGGTCAACAGAGGAATGTGCTTTCTGTGATTTCAGGAGACGACAGACATGCAAACACAACGGAAATGCAAATACCGCCCTGACATGGACACACTGCAGGTATCAGCTCACATTTTGCAAATGACACCAACGGCATGCAAATTCAGGAAAAAGGTTTTGTATTAAAATCCTTCAGGGGAGCTAATGGGATCATTTCTGTTAGAAAAACAGCACCAAAGTGGGAAAGAAAAAAAAAAAACTCCTGCACTTTTGTACACTTTTTGTACTAATTAAAGGAGTATTACAAACATTAAGTCTTGCAAAACATAAATACAAAATGAGAAAATTAGTGTCAAACAACAAAGAATAAAGGAAAGTATCTCATACATCACATTGTAGATCAGCTTCTATAAAATGCACCGAGTTGGAGACATTTTGTATCAGCTGAGGTGTGGCAGCCATACTGGCTCCAAAAGTCAACTGTAGCTATCATGTCATGATTATTATCTGCACTTTCCATTAAATTATACCGCTAGTTCATGGTATATTTTACCAACAAAAACATAAATACAGACAGGAAGAAGCATCATCAACTTTAGGCTGCAAGTGATAAAAACAGCAACACAACCGGAACAACTGCTTTAACACCTTAACGCTAACTAACACTTTTAAATTGTAAAGTCTAATTTAACGATTACAGGCATTTACAGTGAAAATACAAGAAAAATGAAATTATTATGAAGATTTACACAAAAAGCTAAAGTTGAAGTAAAATGAAAAGTTAAAGAGGAGAGTTGGCCACATGGAACAAACGCACGGCACCTCCCACCATCGTACCTGTCGACTCTTTCCTCACGTGCTGCCCAACTTTATCCAACAGATTGCACATGGCCGCTCCCATCTCGCTCTTAGAGCTCACCATCACTTAAGATCAGAACACGCACACAGACACACACCTGCACAGACAGATAAAGCAGCGCACGGTCCTCACTCTGCATCTTCTGCTCTGCTCAGACCTGGGATGTGCGCAGCGGCCTTCCTCCTGTCTGTTGTGCTGAGTGGCTGATGTGACGGTCAGATGGAGGCCGCGGCGTGACGGACTCAGACAGTGGATGGACGGACTGCTGACTCAGCTAATCTCTCCTCTCTGTATAGCTCGGCTCAGAGCTTGTTATGATTAAGACATCCAAGCTTCCTGTCCATCAGTTTACCGACTCATCCATCCTGATCCTGTCCGACAACAAAACCACGAACTCAAACTATAAAAGCTCTGCATCCAAACTACAAGTTTATTTTAAAATAAACAGAAAAAAATATGCAGAAAAGCTTTTGAATTGCTAAAAGAGACCTTTTTCTAACTCAATCTACGACATATCTTTATCGTTTGTGGTGCCCATCTTAATAAATTTAGCAATTTTGGTGCGTCAAAGAGGTTCACGCTTAATATTTTGAGTGAAAATATGAAATATGATAAAAGTTGGGGTAATTATCTTCCGAAACAATTTTATGAACGTAGGCAACTTCCTTAAGGCTTCGTCTGAGATACTATTCTACTTTATTTTTGCTGAGTCGGCACATTTCAGCTGCGTGTAAACAGGTTTTGGTGAGGAAAAACAATTTTAAAAGTTCTGTTTCATGTGCAAAAGTTGCACACTCAAAATGATGACTTTCTACAAACGACAACGATGCAGCCGCTCATTTCTCGCATGCCCCTGAACCCAAAACAACAATGGAGCAGTTTTATTTTTTTCTACATCTGTTTTGCTTAATCTTGATTTTGCCATCTTTAAACTTTGTTGTGACTTGAAAAGAATAAAGACTAAGAGAAAATTATAAACAGTTTAAAAATAAAAGCAACAAAAACAATTATTTGTGCGGATGTCCTCTCTCTCTGTGCATTTTATCGTCAAAGTGGATGTTAATGCCATCTGGTGGTGAAGAATGTGTATTTATTAATTTATCTTTTGGAATTATATACAGAATTTGTAGTTATTGATAAGAACTGAGACAAATTAGCTTTAAAATATTAAAGTAGTGAAGACAGGACCTCAATATAACACCAAAATCAGATAAGACCTCCTTGCAGCAGCGCTATAGAGAACAACTACGGACAATCAGTTAAATGCAAATTAACACAAAAGAGTTGTTGGCAGAGACCAAATGTTATAAAGAAATAAATTATATGGTGTTTAAAATGATAAGTAGCCTTTTGTTAGCTGCATCTCATTTCCTATTGTTTTAGCTAGCTAGGCTATTAGTTTAACTGGCTAATTTGAGAAAATGCCACAGTCTTCACAAAATCTTTTTTTTTTTTTAAAGAGCTAAATTCTAAACAAAAAAAAGTGACAAAAATTAAACAGGCAATAAATATTTACTAATAAAATGTCAGTTGTAGCTCTCGACTGAGATATTATTGCGCAGCTAATCTGCTAAAAGCTAGCGGAGCTACGTTGGTATTTTATTTTATTGGCTCCCCATATCATTTATTTTACACAAACCAGTTTCTAGACAAGCATACAGTTTTATACAAATTTATGTTTAGTGTATATTCATGTCGGAAAGGGAGCAGGAAATCATAATAAAAATGATTTATTATGAAATAATATGCTGCTGCTAAAAGCTAATTAGCTTAGCTTTAGCTTCAAGTAGCGTTCAGGTGAAATGTTGACATAAAACATCTTTAAATAAATGTTTCCATTCGTTATTTTGAACTTTTTGTGAGATTTTGACTTTTCACTTAGTTATTACTTATTACTTTCTTGATTTATTGGGCAGGAAAACATATCTGTAGTCGTCGTCGTTGGAACTTTGAACTTTGAAGACTTTGACTTTAGTGTTGTTGTTTTTTTTCTTACCATCTTTCTTTGTTAGATTTACAAACTCTAAAAATAAATAGTTTATTTGGTGCCCAAAATTGATAAGAATCAATTAGTGCAGAACAGATGAGCCTAAAACACAAATTGAATATTTTATCTTTAAAAGTAGTAAACCAAACACCTTTACAATATTATTGTCAATTTTCTACTCAAAATTTTTTAATAAATAGCTAAAAGAAATGTAGTCTTGTAAGGATTTTTTAGCAGCTCTGAAGAAATCGACTTGTTTCTTTTTTTATGGAAACAGAAATAGATGTTCTGATGCGCACATCATCCATGGGCTCTTATTGGGAAATTCATCTTAGAGGTCATGAAGCACAAACCGGTCCGACTGGACGGGTTACGTCCCGGCACCCATGAACCTTTTATAGCACCTGGTTCATAATTGAGTCAGTGTGTGCAGAGAGAGCTGCAGCTCCTCTAACATCCACCTGCTGAAAGACTCGAACGCACACACACTTCAGACCTCAGCAGGCTGGGAAATCCTTCTGAATGTACTCAGAGCACAACAAGATATACTTTTATGTATTTTTACTGCACATACTTAAGGAGCTCCTTAAAAACTTAGACTAGAGAAATGTAATTTCCTGTGAAAATGCAGTGTGGGTGCTTATTGCTGAATTATTTCTGCTGAAACCAGCTGAAACAGTTTCATCTCTAAATTGGAAATGCAAGTTGAAATGGAACAGCTGACATTTGCTGAAAGCTGGAGAATAAAAATGGGAAAACAGCAGAAATACAACAAAAAAGCTGAATATGGCAGAAATGTAGCAGGAATTAGCAGGATAAGTTGAAATAGGCAAAGGGAGGCTGAATAGATGACAAAAACATCTGAAAAAAGCAAAAAAGAATCGGAAAAGGCTAAAAATAAAATGCTGAAATTAGCAAAAATATATAAGTGTATATATATATATATATGTAAAGAAGCACAAAAGACAAAAATTACCATAAGCAAATCAGAAAAAAGGCTAATATTAGCTGAAAAAAACCCTAAAAGGTTAATGAAAAAGCTCAGTTTAGCAGAAAGAAACTGAAGGGAGCATAGAAATAGCTGAAATTAGCACAAAAACGTAGCTGAAAAAAGCTAAGCAAAAATGCTGAAAGTACCAGAAAGTGACTGAAAGGAGCATGAAATTTTGAAATGATTAGAAAGATGCAAAAAAGATAGAAAATAGCTCAAGAAAGTAACAGAAAAAGGCTAAAATTAGCAGAAAATATTTTAAAAGTAGCTTAAAATGCAAAAAAAGAAGGTCTGAATTTAGCACAAATCTCTTGAAAGGAGCAACTAAATAGCTGAAAATGCTGAAATGAGCTGAAGGAAGCTCAAAGAAGCTGAAGAAAGCAGAACCAGAACAAAATCAAACTGAGCAGTAAAAGGTTTAAACAGCACAGAGAAACAAAAAGAGCTCTATACGTTTTCAATGAGAAAAAAACGGCAGTCAAAGGTAAATATTTCAAAAAGTAAAAGTTGCACAAATACTAAAAGTCAGGGAATGTCCTGAAGGAGCTGAACGTTATGATTTATGAATTTCTGAAATGGAACAAAAAATTGTGGAACAAGATACATACTGAAAAATGTACAGAACAATTAATCCCAGTAAGAAAGATTTATAAACATTCACACAATAAAAAAAAAATAAAAAAACAATATAACTTTCCCGTTTCTATCTAAAAACTGATAATGGACAGAAAAAACGTTTTAATGTCGACACCACACAATCGACTTTCTGATTCAAACGATGTTTTAGTCAGATACTTTTACTTTTCCAGTTTATTATCAGCCAAAAGACAATGCCGTATGCTAACTGTGTTTGTTACTCAAACATCCCAACAACCAGTGGATGGAGTTTAATGAAACTTTCAGAAAGTAACCATTGAATGTACGAAGTCAGCCCAATACAAGATGGTCGCCATACACCGAGAAATGCCTTTTTAAACACAAAAACAGCTACACTTCAGTAAATTGTACAGGTATTGAGCTAAAACTGGCGTGGTAGTAGCTGAGAGTATCCTCGACACAAACGGCAGGTGCTCCTGATTGATTTTCTTTTCTTTTAAATCCAAACACTTTGTGTCCTCGA